ATGTACGTATACCTTAAGTTCCCTTAATAATGTTTCGAAGTACTTGATGTATTCACATTGCATCTCGTAGCTATGGAGGTAACTGCGGTACACAACCCAGCCAGCGTACTCATAAGCATCCTACATCAAAATGAAGGGAAAGAGGAAACTCATGGTTTAGAATGTTTTCAGAATGACAATTATACCATAACAAACTGTAAATAGCGAGGGGCAAAAAAACAAGGTTTGATAAAGGGCTGTGCAGGACCCTGAGGACACGAATCACGTTTTCTTTCGGTGCCCCTTAGCGCGGTTTGCATGGAGCGCAGTGAGGTCCGCAGCTGGGGTCCAGTGGGACCCTCGCTCGGCAGCAGAGCTTATTCACATCTTAGACGCGTTGCAAGGCCCAACGAAACGGGTCGTGTGGAGTTGTGTTGGGGCACTTCTTTGGTCCATGTGGCTAACTAGGAACAAACTCACGATTGAGGGGACTTTGCCAACGCATCCGGCTAATATTATCTTCAAATGCAATCTCCTTTTGCAACAGTGGAGTCCGTTGGGAGGCGCAAGGATGCTGATTTGATCAAGATAGCTCAACAACGAATACTGCAAGCGTACGCGGCGGCTAGGGAGCCGTGACTTCGGTGGTCCCCGTGGTCTATTTTGTGTGCTTAATGAGCCTGCGTGCTCTGTACGGGCTAAGCCTTGTAATGCGACAGTAGCTTCTTAACCTTCGTCCGAACTCTGTGCGTGGTCCGATGTGGTTTCTGGGTGCTGTAAGACTTATTGGTGTTACTCTGCCGTTGGGGCTTTATTAATTTAAAGCCGGACGCATCTGGCGTCTTCGTTCTAAAAAAAGATAAAGAGCTAGCAAAAACATACTATTATTCGTAAAATTATAAATAAATCTGTTGGTTCCTTTTAAATAAACTACCATTTCCAACAGGTAAATACACATATGACTACTTTACTAAAAGAATGATGAGCCTCTATGAAGGCAATAATGTGGAAAGAAAATATTCTGGATTAGCACTATGTTAAAAGTGGTCAATTCACCAGATTTCAGCGGCCAATGACTTGATTATATACATTTTCCAGCATATAACATTATGAAATATCCATCCAACAAGACAATTAACACTCTGTAGATGTATCATGAACTCATCAGTAACTCTGTGTAAATTGCTCTGTAATCTAGAACCTTAAATAAGCACTCTTCAACCCTTTGAGCGACAAGTAATTCTGGACGGAGGGAGTAATAAATAACTCTTCAACCCTTTTCTGGAAACAGACCACATAGAGTCTCATTTGTGTATATATCATGGTTTTGAAATTCAGACAAATGGACCTTACTAGCCATACTAAGTTACTAACACAATGGAATACCAAAGGCAATTAAACGATCACAGGAACGCCCGGTGATCAAATCATATACGTACCTGCTTTCGTGGGACTAGACGCTGGTAGTCATCCAGGCCAGCAAGCTTGCAGAGATCAGGATCGAACACTACCAGAATCAGTAGCTATGCTTACGGCCAAAGAGGCCACAATGCCGTCGGCATAGGACTATGCCTACGGCTGCCGTCGGCATACCCCCGTCGGCATAGAATGCGTCAACGTACTCTTGTCAGACCGTCGGCGTACTAAAGCCGTCGGCATAGGCAGCTATGCCGACAGCTTCCGTACAGCCGTCGGCATAGTTTCACCGTCGGCAAAAAAGGACGAGACGGCAGCTGACGGCGCCGTCTCTAAGTCCAACCAACCAAGAGCTGCCATGTGGCGAAACTATGCCTACGGCTTTGCCGTCGGCATAGTCCTGCCACATGGCAGTTCATGGTTGCTCCTGGCTGAGTACTATGCCTACGACTTTGCCGTAGGCATAGATGATCTATGCCGACAGCTTTGCCGTAGGCATAGTCCTCGGCTAGGAGCTACCACATGGCATTTATGCCGACGGCTTTGCTGTAGGCGTATATGCAAACCTATATTGATGAATAAATAATACAAGTGATATTGCAAAAAGTGAATAAAAGAAACTATATTCATAATATATGGAACACTACAATTATTTGGTCTGAATAATAAGCAATAGACTTTATTAATATAAATGTCAATTACAAGCATTCAGGAATTACACTTAAGAGGAAAAAGAAATAAAAGAAGAAAGGAAAAGTCCTAAACTAAACCTATACTAAACTATCTAGTTCTTCATCTTCTGCTTCTTTCTTCCAGTTCATCTACCTGCAAAACAAGAAACAACAAACAAGAAAAACTTGATCAAGGTTCAAATGTAGCATTCCCCTTAGCAAAATGCCTTTGCTGTAGGAGCTAGCACTTAGGAGTTTGGAAACATTAGTCAAACCCCAATCAGATTAAGTTGATCAAAGAAACAGTAGAAGAGAGCCAACACTGTTTAAATGGAGCCAATAACCCAAGACAGAAGTATAGCCAGAAAAGTATAGATCAAAGCCAAACCCAAAGATCAACTCAAACTAGCACTAACTCCATGATTAGGGGGTCCCTCAATTAAGCTTGGGTTAGTTTTCAGATGAAATCCAACTAACCCACTACTAATCAACTAGCCCAGAGGTAGGGTTTGAAGTAGGGATGGTCCTCAGGCAGCCTAGTAGTGCTAGGACTATTGCATCATTGGATCAAGTAGTGCAACATCTGTTGTTAAGTAACGATGAGAGCCTCAGGACACCATCATTGGCATGGCAAGATTAAGGAGCACCTGTTCTTATCAGTGAGAGTAGGAGAGAAAGAAAGAAAGAAAGTGAAGAGACTAGTGTAGCATCTGTTTAAATCAAATTTAAGAGAGAGGGAATTGGCAAGGAAAGATATAGTCCATAACCTGCAAGAAGAAATAGGCCATTGATAGCACATTTACTAAACATCTGCTGTAAGCAGAACACATACGCCCACTTACACATGGGTACTATTCTGTATATAGGTACACAAGCACAACACATGCACCTGGTATAGATAGGAGTATAAGCATGCATCTAAATCATCTGAAACATATGAAATAGCTAATGCAAAGAAAGAATTACCACTACATGCAAGTACAATATACAACTAAACCACCAGTAGATGATGTACTAAACCATACAAGAAATACCAATACATGGTATTTAGATAAAGACTAGTATATATCAAACACAGTACCAGCTTGCAAGAGAAACTATAATTTTATACCACTACGGGAGCAAATCATGAACTATAGAGTAATTGCAGTAAAGAGATGAATCAGTATATGTTGATCAATAAGGGAGTTACAGCTATATACAAATGAAGGAATATATCCTTTATAAGATAACGAAGAAACATTAGCTCGCCGAGCCCCGCCCCGCTGCCGCATGTGTGGCGACGTGCCGCCAACCTCCACCGAGCATCGTGCTATGTCAGATTTTATGCGCTACCGCCGCCTTGCCATGCACACACCATGCGCCCCTGCTTAACCATTGCACCCCGCACTCTCGGGGACAGACGAGGGGGAAGGCCTCGACGCTGCCCAAGGCAAACAGGCTTCGCCTAACGGCTCACGCGGGGGGCGGCAAGGATGAAGGAGGACGGAGGTCAGAGGA